AGGGTTGAAAGACAAGATTGCCTCTTTAGAAAGGGATTTGACTGCTAGTAAGGAAATTTGTGGAAAGTAAAAGAGGAGCTTGGAGTTTACCGAAGAACAAAGGAAAAAGCTTCTACGAGTAAAGGCGGATCTTAAGGCAAGAGAAAAGGAGAACAAAGAGCTTGTGGAGAAAGTGATTAAATAGCAAGAGTTGAAAGGAAAAGTGATTAAGTGGAGGAATGCTTACAACAACTTATTATCTGATTATGATGCTTTACAAAAGGAATTACGAATGGCAAAGCAGTCAAAGCAAGGGGAGAAGGAGAGCACAACTTGAGGAGCTTGGGGAAAGATGGGTTACTTTGGAGCTATTGTACAAACATTAGAAATTCAGATTTGTCAATGAAAACTTGCTTGAATGAATACAATCTTTCTTCCTTGTCAAAAGTATATCCAATGAAGTAAAATCCATGATTAGGATAGAAATTTTAATTCTCAAGCCTCATATCACATTTGCATTTTATTATACATGTCATTAGCTACGATCTTTGATTATTCTCTTATTAATATCTTTATTTTTGCCACTTTGTGTTTAGTTCTCAAGCTCTTTTGATTGAACCATTTGTGACCTTTGAAAAGAAATATGGATTCTCACACATTCAAGACACAACCTTCTACACACAAGACTCTGTTGAAGTTTTCTGCTCATATTCAAAGGCTCAATGAAGAAACCATCTCTTATCTGCACCAATTGACTAAGGACAATGAACACCTTCGCAAAGCCAATGAGCAATTGGAAAAGCAACTACAAGACATTATAAGATAAGTAGTTAAAACTTATCAATTTTATAGAGTAAAAACCTAACATATTATGTTATAAAATAAAAGACTAAAATCCTCCTTTATAAGGTGAGAGTTAAATGTTAGGTTTTACCGGTTACGCTAGTCTATTGAAAAGCAAGTCCCTTCTTTATGTAGTTTGTGTTGTACCGCTCACTGGAAAAGGACGCCTCCACAGTCCACAGATAAGAGCCCTCCCAAATCCCAATCAAGGGTTAGTTCTTGATTATACAATATTTTTGTTTAAAAAAAAAAAAAAAAATTTCTTGGTACGAACTTCGTGGGGGGAGCTAAAGAGTCTGTGTCTCAAGCTCATTAAAGGTTTAAAGCCAATTGTCGTCCCTCTACTTTAATATTTTATTCGTTCTTGTCCCTCTACTAAGGACATATTCGTTGTCATCCCTCTACTCTACCAAAGAGCCAAAACGTCGTCCCTCTACTTCGCTTTTTTTGTTTCGTTGTCGTCCCTCCACTAACACCGTTCATGTTGCCATCACTGCTGACCGTTAAGTCTAAACGGTCAGCAGTTAAACCCATTTGTTCTATTTTTTTTTTTCCACACATGTGATGCCTAATTACAATTTTCACCATGTGAGCCCCAGTTCTTATTAGTATCTTTGGCTCACTGTTCGACAAGCTTTGATCCCTAGTGGGAACTCTAGCTTGGTGGTTGTCGTCCCTGCGACCAGCACTTTGATCTTGAACTCTTAAATTTAGATCTAGATTTTTTCAGATTTTTTTTTTTTTTGTTTTTGAACTCCGGTGAAGATGAAGAAGACCAAATGATGAGGTGAGGAATAGATGGAGAGATGAAGAAGAAAAAACAAATAGAAAAGAAATCTGGAGAAAAAGAAAGCTATAGAAAGACGATGAAATGGAGAATTTGAGGAAGAAGAATCGCACCCAAAATAATGAATGATTTTCTTAGTTTGAAGGTTAGGGTCTAACAAAAATTAATTATTTTATTAATAGATTTTTATAGCCGTGCTCTAAATTGCAATTAGTTGTACTTTTTTCAATTAATTTGTATTAAAAAAACAATTAATTTTATTTTTAACAATAATAGCATAACAATGGCATGTAAATGTTTTTAAGTAGTTGTACTTTTTTTTAGCTTTAAGGTGTATTTATATCAATTTAGACTAATTTTGAGATAATTTTTTTTAGTTCATCCAAAGT